CTCCGGGGGGGGTGGGGGGGGGGCAGCTCTGGCCGAAGCAACGGCAGCATCCGGCCGCTTCCCGCCTGTTCTGCCCCTCCTCTGCACTGGGGGACCCCTCTGCACGCGGGAGCCCCAATCTGGACGCACTCACAAGTTCCTCCGCAGCACCCCCCCCCCCCCGCCGCCGCACCCCTCCCGCTCAGACTCCCAGACTCCCGGGACCCGCTCCTCCGCTACATAGGAAACTTTGTTTCCGCCCCGCGTCCAACCCAAGCTTTGTACCTCCTGGTAGGATGTGGAGAGCTCTTGCCGGATCATGGCACTGACGGGAGCTAAGCACACCAAAGCCCGCTACGCCCGGGAGCGGACCGCAGCCGCAGCGCCGGGACCTGCCGGCTCCGCGAGGTGCTACGCGTTCTGAGGGGCGGTGCCGAGACCTGGCGGGGAGGCACTCCGCGCATGCGTCTTGCTCCCGCCGCAGCTGGGGCCGCGAAAGGGTTGCTGGGAAATGTAGTTCCGCACGGAGGGCACTCCTCAGCACCCAAGCTTCAGCGAAGCCGGCGCTTACCCAGAACCAGGCACAACCCTGGCGTTAGGAGCACGTGCTCTCTTTCTCTCTCACTTCCTCTCTTTGTTGAAGAGAGAGGGACGGAGAATATTAGTGGAACAGGGGGCCCCAGATCAGATGAGTAGGAGAGCCTAATCTATCATTGCAAGAGGAAGGTTATAACCGTAGTAAATATCTGGAGAACACTTTGTATGTTAAAAGCACTTTCACGCACTTAATGCCCTTGATCCTACCAGGACCCCCTGTAAGGGGGGCATTTTTCTTCCTGTTTTCCAGATGCAAAAACTGAGATACCTTGTTTCAGAAAGGATGGCAGGGAGGGCAGTGATCAAGTGAAGATTATTTAATCCAGGAATGGACTACAGAATCCAAGTTCTTTTCATTATTTCTAGGCAGACACTTGGATTCAGAACCTCGGTTCTTGCCCTGGCTCTGCTCCTCTCCCTCAGGTTTGTAATGCTCTGAGCGCTCCTCTCTTGCCTTAGAATGCAACTGCTAACCCTGTCCTGCTTCACAGGGCTTTCTGAGAGCCAAAATAGATCAGGCACAAAAAAACCCAAGGCGCTGTTCACCACGCAGAAGCCTCCCGCCCTGAATTTGGTGGAGAATTGGGCGCTTGCCCTGTGGCAGAGTGACCTGGGACCCCCTCCTCCCCACTGCCTGAACAGCTGTTCCGTGTGGCCGCCCTGGGCTGCGTGGTGGTGAAGCAGATAAAGGTTGCTTATGCCTTGGTGAATGCTGCTCTGTGTCACCGGCAGCTGCAGCTCTGCCAACCGTTGCACTCAGGCCACTCTGGGCCTCTTCCCTCCTCAGCGGCACCACAGTAGCACCAACCACGTCAGAGCACCCTGGGCCTCCCAGTACATTAGCAATGAAAGGCCTCCATCACCTCTCCTGACTACCCTCCCCCACCCCAGGCTCTCTGCTCCCACATCTATTCAATGTGAGGATGCATAGAGCACCTAACACATGGTAGGCACTCAACAAACATTTGTTACATTTGTGACTGGAACAGTCATTCCAGCCATTACATTTAACACTTCGCTTGCCAAAACAAATAGCAACAAACAACCATTAATTTCCTTACTGTATTAATACAAGGGTGGTTGATAGAACAAGTCATGGAATCAGAATTTTAGAGCTGGAAGGAACCAGAGAATTCTAGTCCAGCCCTATTATTCCCCTCTATCTTTGCTGATATGACCAAACTGGAAAACGGCGGGCTCCCGTATTTGAAGGAGATACTGACGAGCACAGTATTCAGCATGGCTTACCAAATGCAATGTGCTGGGCACTGGGATAATGAATGAATGGGTTACTCCAAGGTCCTTGCCCTTGTGGCTCTTCCATGCTAGAGTATAGAGGCAGATCATGAACACAAATAGAATTTTCTGTCCTTGCTGTCCCAGGTCCCTTCCTTTCACTCCCTCAAGCACACACCAGTCAGGCTTTCATGCTGTCCACTCACTGAGATGGTGCTTGTCATGGTCACAGATGACCTCTGAGTTGTCAGATCAGATGGCCGTCTCCCCACCCTCCTTTTTCTTGACCTATCAGCTGTGTTGCACTCAGTTGATTGTCCCCCTTCCTTGTACACTTTCCTCCCTTGGCTTACAGAACCCTACCTCACTCGCTGCTCCTTCTCAGTCTCCTTTGCTGGGTTGTCTTCATTGCTCCAACTCTACAGGTGACAATGCTCAAACTAGATCTTTGATTCCCTTTCTATTCACTTCCTAGGGTCTTGTCTAGTGAAATGGTCTTTTCTAGTCTCATGGTTTGAATTGCCATCTATACCCTAAAGATTCCTGTTATGGACTGAATGGTGTCCCCCAAAAAGATATGTTGAAGTCCTAACCCCTGGTACCTCAGCATGTGACCTTATTTGGAAATAGAATTGTTGTGGATGTAATTAGTCAAGACGAGCCCTAACCAGCTTGGCTCAGTGGATAGAGCGTCGGCCTGTGGACTGAAAGATCCCAGGTTCGATTCCAGTCAAGGGCATGTACCTTGGTTGTGGGCACATCCCCAGTAGGAGGTGTGCAGGAAGCAGCTGATTGATGTGTCTCTCTCATCGATGTTTCTAACTCTCTATCCCTCTCTCTTCCTCTCTGTAAAAAATCAATAAAATATATTTTTTTTTAAAAAAGATGAGGTCTCTGCATATCTTACGACTCGTGTCCTTACAAAAAGACGTAAGGTGATGTAAAGAGAGACACAGAGAAAAGGTCTTGTGATGACAGAAGCAGATTGCAGTGATGCAGCTGTAAGCCCAGGTGGCTTTAATCATTGACCTGTGGTTATAGGTCATGGCCTGGGAGGCAGGCTCCATTCCCGGGCCAAGAAACCATCACCAGAGATTAGGAAGAGGCAGGAAGCATTCT